GATTCGCATATTGTGAATGATGAAGTTCCGGAGGGTTGTCGTTTCGTGATCCGAGCCCAACCTGAAGCCTCGGCTTGTTCGATAGTAACAATGCTATTACCGATCAACCACCTCTTTAGCTGAATCTTGCCAAACCGACTAGCTGTAAACAACGGGTCCTCAGCAGACTCATCAACGTCAGCATATGCTACTCGCTGCATGAAATCGATCGACGTCTGGGCTTGTTCATCCAGAACTTGGGAGCCATCAACATCTGTAAAGAGATTCTTGGCGATCCACGAAACGTGACTCGCGCGGTCTCCAAGTTTCAGTGCCAAAAACCAAAAGATGATGACATGGTACGCTAAAGAATAGACATACTGAGGGAGGTCATCAGATGCATTTGGGTGCGAGGGATTGTCGACTGGAATCGATGGTTTTCTAGGGTTGGCAATATCACCAATGGAACTCGGTCGATGACTTTGTTTCTTACCCCTAACAAATTGGAGATAACGGACGCAAATGCCGAAGACGATTTGATATTCCTCTTTACGAAAGTTGACGTATAGAGATGGTAGCCTACTGAGGCAGGCTAAGAACTCGAGAATATGCATTGCGACATATGGCTGCGTGATGATTTGAGCCATGCGTTGCAATATGGGGATCAGGACTTTACTTATGGAGGAAGGAAGTTCATGGCAGCAGATTGTGAGTGCATGTATGCAGCACTTGGCACTACGCTCTGTTGTAATGGCGTCAACGAAAGTCGAGACGATTTCGTCTTCATCAGGCTTTGGAAAGTGTCGATGATAGCTCAGTATCATTGTAAGGTTATGAAGGAGGCATATTGCAATGTCCGCTTTACGCAGTCCAGAAGTACCCGGGGGTTCTTGCAAGACGCGCTGTCTGATCTGCTCACACACCGTCCTCCGTAATTCTTGTAACTGAGGCACGGCCTTGTTGAAAACGGCGTGGTTACTTAATTGCGAAGGGAGATGTACAAGTATAAAGCTATAGACTTCCCAGTCGCAGCCGGTTTGTATTAGATGCAAGATTGCCCCGAGCCATAAACTTATAGGTAGAAGTGTCTCATCCCCTTCTGAGGCGCTCTCAAGCGAAGCGTCGGGAACACTTGAATAAAGGACGGGGCTAGCAGTCGCAGACGGAGCTTCTGGTAGCGCGTCTAGATCTGATGCGACCCACAGGAATTGATATGTACTACTCCCCGTCTTTGTTGCAGTGGCCGCTCGGTGTGAAGGAGTCCGTTCTGGCAATTGAGTAGAAAACGATACGCCTCGGGTAGACCGGGACGAACCGCTAGCCTCGCTTCTTGATAGTCTAGTTTGCGGAGATACCTCTTCGCTTAATTTGCGTGCCATTGCTGCTTCAGTGCGACCCAGTGTTGCAGCTAGACTACCAGTTTCTGTGTGCATAGTGATGAATATTCGATTAGCCCAATCAGCTCTCACACGAAACAGAAGCTTCATTGCAGTCAGGCGAGCGTCAGTCGCATTGCTTAGCTTCGCTATTGAAACGAGAGTCTCGAAGAGACGGATTGCTTTGGCCACATCCACATTCATAACACGAAGAAAAATTTGGACGAAACCTTTAGTAACAACATTCGCTGGTGTCTGGTGGGGCGGTAATTTCAATATTGAAGACGACACGCCGGAGTTTGGAGAGGACGGAGGAATAGCTGTGCGCGATCGGTTGGTACCCACGATTCCGGTCAATGTGTCTGTAATATGATAGAACATGGGTAGACTTATTGTGGTTGCGACAGAGGCAGCGAACGACACAATCTCTTGCAAGACCACAATATCGGTCTCCTCGGTAACGCCTACAAGCAAGCGCTTCACAAGGTTGAGAACAAAGTCAGGTTCTGCCTCGTCATTGATGAGCTCCAGCATGTCATAAACCTCTGTGATTACATGCAAAGCCTGCAGCCTCACATCTGTAGAACGCTTCCTGTCCTTGAAGAAGGCGCTGAGGACCATATCTAGGTTCGATTTCCACCGAGCATCCGAGGGGAAACAACAACGGAACTCCTTGTAGTAGTCCAAAACTAGAGTAGCGGCCGAGTCGGGGATTGCTGGATGAATCTTGGTAAAGAACAAGATACAATCTTGTCTCTGAACGAAAGGATCGCGCTGGTTATTGACAATATTTTCGACTCGAGACACGAGTTCTAATAACTCCTTAATTATCACTGCCTCGGGGTGATCACTATCTTCCTGTGATAATGGCGAAGCGAGGACCTGGCTGGATTTGGCCAGAAGGGTGATGGCCCCGGCGGAGCAAGCTCCAGCGATATCAAAAATCGGCGTCCAATCTTCCTCCGCAAGCATAGTATTGACACTGCCTCGACTATCGTAGAAGAGCGCATTTGCTAGTTTGAGGATGTCTTGGTAGACCTTCCAAGACGTTGTGGCCTCGACAACCTTAGACAAGCTGTTAACCAGGACAGAATAGGGAATAGGCGGGTAACGCTTTTCGGAGCTCTTCGGGATGAGTTTGTTAAGGATCGAAAGTGCTCCTCGTATGTGTCGTAAATCTTGCTTCTTGTTTTCATCCGCTCCGGCACTACTTAGAGTCTCTAGAAGTAGTCTTACGGTTGCTTGGCCGTTGTGCGACTGGCATAGAATACGAATAGTAGTCCAAGCCTGCTTCTGAGCATCTGGCACTAAACAGTGTATAGAAGAAAGAATCTCAACACACTGCTTGAGCTTGTTTCCAGGGAGCACTCCAAAAGTGATAATAGCATCTAAAATGCCACTACACGCTCGCATATCGTCAGAAACACTAGTTAACATGCATATATCCAACAGTGTGCCCACCAAGGCCTCTGCCGCAGCATCATCAGCAAGAACGGAATTGAACTTGATAGCATCCGCTAGAAACTTGAAAAGGTCTGCGAAATCTTTGCCCTCCTTGGTCATGATGGATTTCCCCTTTGAACGTGGGCCTTGCCTCCTAGTCATGGCCCTAGCGTTACGTACCATGTCAAAACTCGAACGCAGCCAAGTTGACAGAAGCGGAAATAGATCATAATCAAAGCCGGACATATTCCGACCATGGTCAGACAGGTTGACGAGCGCCATAAGCTGCAAGTGGAAATCATCCGGGTTTGCAATAGTAGATATCGTCTGGAAATACTCTTTTCGCTCCAGGTCAGACGAAGACGGATGCTTAACGCACTCGGCGAGAAGTTCCCATCCGGCAATACGAGTAGCCTTCGGATTCGTAGGCTCTATAAGATCTTTTGCAGCATGCCAAATACCCAGCACTGGGTTGTGAGGATAGTTGGCAACTACCGTACGTAGAGAGTTGGCCGCAGCCGCCCGCTCGTTGATTGTCCCATCTTTCAGTTGTTCAAAAAGGGTGATATACTGGGGCGGTAGCGTGTAGGCGTGGGGGGTGGGCATTGAGCTCAGTTCTTCCGCTATCTCGGCATGAATTGTTGGGGGTGTGGATGACTGAGCAACGGTGGGAGAGGACTTGGTCAGCTTAGCAGCACCAGCCAAGCCCTTGAAGACGCTGGCAAGACCTCCTACCGTCTTCGAATCTTGTGACGGTGGCGCCCCATCCCCAGGAGACGGGGACATCTCTCGTTCTTGGATCGAGGCCTGCTTAGAGCCAGGAGATGCTGTTTGACGCGACATGTCAGCCATGGAACTGTCCACGTAGCGTAGTCGGGTGAACAAGGGCCCCAGGGCGGGCAGAGGAGTGATATGTATTGGATCACACGGGACAGGAGCAAGCAGTTCACAGATGCGCCAGGCGACATATCTCTTACTCCTTATGAACGGATACTTGTTGGTGAGGATCGAGCAAGTAACCAAGGCAACCGTACGGCAGAGTGATTTCAGAATAGCGCCGGACACCCACTTCCCATTACCAAGTATCGCGAATCAAGAACCCCCAGCGCAAGTAGCAGCGTAATGAGAGGCAGAAGCAGAAACAGAGTCAAAGGCAGAGCAGAAGTACTCAGGACTCAGGACTCACTAACCTACAAGCAAAGCAGAAATCGCATGCGAATATGGACAATTCAAGACAACAGCTTAGGCATACTAAACAAGCATTTGTGACTTTTATCGAGAACAGTAAGATGCTGCGCGCTGTAGCTGAGCTCTCTTGACGATCCGGATATCTGAAGCTGAAGCTGGGGGTATCCGGGGACCTCGTTCTTCACGCCACGACCTCTAGTGGGCCGTCTCTCTTATTCTACCCTCCCACTCTTATCTATCTCTTTAGATTCGACGTCCCCAAGGCAGGAGTAGTAGTAGTAGTATATAGTCGGATATCGCGAGGGCCGCTTCGAGAGAGACGGACAAGCATCAGAGGCGCACATCGGAAGAGGGGAGGTGAGAGGGGGGGGGATTGGGGGATGGGAGATAGGTAGGACGTTGGTCAGCGAGTGAAGTTGTGATGGATGGGGGGTTGAGTTTTGGTTGTGCTGGAACTCGCTATAGTGAGTCAGACGGACGGATGTTGGATGTTGAATGAAGCAGAGGGTGGAAGACGACGATACGTACAGGAACGACGTCAGGACAGGATCGATTTGAGGTTGGGACTAAATAACCTACCAGACGAGCCCGCATCTCCACTATCAGCTGCCCTTTTAGTGACCATGCAGCACCGCCATGTAAAAAGTCTATAGTAGATAGCGCAAAGTGGATTAGGTAGTGCCTCAACTAAAATTCCAACTCCGTACTTAGGTAATCTAAGCTTTATCAAGGTTTAGTTTTATGCTCTGCAGCAACCAATGACCCCGAGAAGTCAGGTCCGGACTCATATCTGCACTACTTGATCTAGGCTAGTCTGGTTAAGTAGTATATCTACCTAAGGCTATTTACTTACCTAAGGTATGTAGGTTAGCAGTATATAGAAAAAAAAATAGGTAGGTAGTACTTAGATTGTCTTAAGCTTCTGTGGCGCTTACTAAATTAGGCTTAGCTGGCTTGCCGCTTTTGCTGTTCGGAGTTAAGATCGGTATGGTGGAGTAAGGAGCAAGTAAAAAGCCCAAAGTGGTGTAGTGGTAACATGCCTTCAGGTGACAGTTAAGCTACTTGCAACGAGCTTAACCCCTTCAGGGGCGGGAGGTTCTCGGGTTCGAATCCCGACTTTGGGAATTTTTTAACTACTACATAGCCCGCTAGTATTGCTTAGCGACTATTTTTATAATATTATTTATATTGCATGTATGCTATAAATTACAGTGATTAAAAACCGCGGCTTATATATATGCAAAAAAAAAAAAAGAAATAAGTAGTTAGACTGGTTAATAGCTATGCTAGCTAGAATGCGTATAAGCAACAGCCCTTGCAGCACCACTGAGATACAGCGTCGCCAGTGTCGCTAAGTGTAGCTTAGCTTTCGAGGGTGAGGGCTGGATAACCTATCGCTATCTTCGCTGTCATGTTCTATTTCCTTGTGCTTACGTTCAACTTTACCTCATTTGTTTTCTTTTTAGAGCGACTCTTGAGCAACTTCCTGGGAAGTCGCTCAAACGGCTTTATAATAAACGGATGCAAGTTTTTGGTTTATATCGCATTATAAAAAAGGGAGTCCGTCTCAGGCTCAAGCTAAAAGCAGCAGTCAGTGCTCAGGTTAGATTCCACTTCCGATTCGGGATTGTGTAAGGTGGTGAGAGCCGACCTTAGCCGGTCCCACAGGTATAGGTACCTAGGTACAATTGGTAGTGCCAAGTAGGGGTTACCTACCTTAGGTACCAGGTACAGGTTAGAGCTTATCCATTCTGTGTACCCAGGGCACTGGATAACGGTGGGTACTTTAACAGATAGATACATGTGTATGCTGTATAATGGCTACTTCACTAGGTCCTATATACTAACCTCATCAGTTTAATACTGAGAATAGCCATAAGAAATCGGGAAATTCTATCCCTCTGTCATTCCACGTTTAGCTACCTTAGGTAGTAAGAAAGAGGCCATGGAGTTGAATCTCGAATACTGCACTCTGTACTCCGTACCTACTCCCTGTAGCTCATGCCCCTCGGCGTCTACTAGGTATAACAGCGGGGTTAGGTACCGTTTTGTACTATAAATACGTACCTACAGCGCCCACTAACCTACCTCTATACACAACGTAATTGGGTGCAGCACCTACCGACGTCCTAAAGAGCTAGCTGGCGTTGCTGGGAGCCTTCTGATATGTCAATAAAAAGTTGATTCAATATCATCCTCCAAACAAAACATCCTCCTCCCACGCTGCCCCAGCTTGCGAAATAAACCGACCCAACTCCCCTAACCTCCCCCCTCCGACCTGCTGCTACTCCCACTGCCTGAGCACGAGGTACCTAGTCAGAATGGCTTCCGACATGGGCCAGATTGCCCAGTTGCTGGATGCGACATTGGACCCTACGAAGCACAAGAAAGGTATGTCCTAGCCAACACAACATACAGTCATTTTACCCCACCATCTACCATCTACCATCCTCCCACCCGGGACTCTGACGACTCTGGTCGGGGCTAATATGTATGGTTGACTTGCAGCCGAAAACCTCCTTAAGTTAGAGGAGAAGAAGCCTCAATTTTCCCTGCAGCTTCTCAAAATTGTCGCTACCGAATCATTCGAACCAAAGATTCGTCTCGCCGGCGCCCTATGCTTCAAGAACTTCATCCGACACAACTATGTAGTATGTCGGCTACGGCTGGTCTTGCCTTATACATCCGCTAATGACAGCGTTGCATAGGACGAGGACCGCAATTACAAGTTGCCCATTAACGAGGTCAACACGATAAAACAGGAGCTTATTGGGCTCATGATCGCATGCCCGTCGACTATTCAGACACAACTGGGAGAGGCTATCAGCATAATCGCCGACTCAGATTTCTGGGACCGATGGGACACCCTAGTCCAGGTGCTTTTGTTATCCCCCACCTACATTTGTCTTTCCTTCTAACACAAGTGCCTTCACAGGATCTCGTCTCCCGTTTTACGCCTGATAACTACAAGGTCAACAACGGAGTGCTAGAGGTCGCGCACTCCATATTCGTGAGATGGCGGCCGCTATACAGGTCAGATGCCCTATATGCTGAGATCAACCATGTGCTGGGCACTTTTGCTCTCCCGTTCATCGGTCTGCTCAATGTAAGTACATGCCAGCTCCTTAACTACAAGTAGGCGGCCGTTTGCATCTAACATGGCGTAGGCAACCGACCAACAGATCGATGCCAACCAAAATAACAAGGACGCTCTCAAGGGCTATTTCGATACCATGAGCCTTTTGATCAAGGTTTTCTACGATTTATCTTGCCAGGATATGCCCCCTCAGTTTGAATCCAACCTAGAGCATATCTCAACACTCCTCCACAAGTACCTTGTCTACGAAAATCCAATACTAGCAACTGATGACGACTCGGAAGCGGGTATTATTGAAAATGTGAAGGCTGATATTTGCGAAGCCTTGGAGCTCTACGTGAACAAATACGACGATGATTTTGGCCGGTATACCCAAGTTTTCATCTCCACGGCCTGGAATTTACTTTCTAGTACCGGGCCTGAGACCAAGTACGATAATCTAGTTAGCAAGGCCCTCCACTTCCTAAAGGCTATTGCCGGAACTACACAACATTCGGCAGCTTTCAATGACGAGAACGTGCTCGGCCAGGTCGTGGAAAAAGTAGTTCTTCCCAATGTCGCGCTTCGAGAATCAGATATTGAACTGTTTGAAGACGAACCCATTGAGTTCATCCGCCGTGACCTTGAGGGCTCAGACACGGACTCCCGAAGGCGAGCCGCAACAGACTTCCTACGTCAGCTTCAGGGGAAATTCGAGCAACTGGTCACCTCTGTGACTGGTAGATATATTAACCACTATCTCGAGCAAGGCAAGTCTAACTGGAAGGACAAGGACACTGCGATCTCACTCTTCCTATCTATCGCAGCCAAGGGTGCAGTTACAGCATCACATGGTGTCAAGACGGTCAGTGAGCTACTCAATGTTGTCGATTTCTTCCAGCAGCACGTCGCAAACGATTTAGTTGGTGATGCCGGCGTCGAGCCTATCGCAAAAGTGGATGCTATCAAATATCTATACATGTTCCGAAGCCAATTAACCAAGGAGCAATGGCAAGCTGCTTTTCAACCCCTCATCCAAAATCTAGGCTCCTCAAACTACGTGGTATATACGTATGCGGCTATCGCCGTTGAGAGGCTGTTGTATCTCACAGACGACTCTGGCGCTCGCATCTTCGGCAGAGCCGACATTGAGCCATTTGCAAAAGATCTGCTAGATCATCTTTTCAAGCTCGTCGAAAAAGAAAGCTCGCCCGCCAAAATGCAAGAAAACGAATTTCTTATGCGTTGTATTATGCGTGTCCTCATCGTCATGAACACAGGCATCCTTGGCTTTGATGATATGGTCCTTGATCACCTAGTATCAATCACCAATGTTATCAAGGCAAATCCGAGCAACCCACGATTCTACTACTACCATTTTGAGGCGTTGGGCGCCGTTGTCAGGTAGCGTTCCGACAAATTCTATCTCAAATAGAGATTCGGCTAACTAGAAGTAGTTGCGGCTCACCCAACGGCACCTCAAAATTGGAGGATCGCCTCTGGGAGCCTTTGAATCTGATCATTACGGAGGAAGTGAATGGTGAGAAGCAAGACAACCCTTTCATTCGGCATAGCACTAATCAATAGTTTGCTAGAGTTCATGCCCTACGTATTCCAGCTTTTCGCCAAGTTGCTAGAACGCAATCCATCAGGAGCGCTGCCTAATCACTACCAGGCTCTCGTTCCCCCGTTGATGCTACCTACTACTTGGGAAACTAGGGGCAATGTTCCCGCGCTCACTAGATTATTAATAGCTATAATACCCAGAGCTGCACAGTACATTGTAGCAGAGAACCAAGTTCAACCGATTCTGGGAATATTCCAAGGCCTCTTGAGAGGCAAGAAAACCGAGCAGAATGCGTTCGATCTCTTAGAGTCGGTAGCCTTATCAATACCCCGGTATGTCATGTCCTAGCAATCTCATTACATATACTAGTGACTGATCTATTACAGAGCTTCACTTGAGCAGTATTTCAAGAACATCTTGGAACTCCTCTTCACCAAGCTACAATCCAGCCCGTCGGATTCGTTCAAACTACGGTTTGTACGTTTCTATCACCTCATATCAGCCAAACCAGAAGCCGGCCTCGGAACAGATTTCTTCATTAGCCAAGTCGATCTTGTGCAACGTGGTACTCTCTTTACGCAAATCTATTTGAACATTATCTTGCCCACGTCGCGGCAACTAGTCCGCCCGGTAGACCGAAAAGCGGCGGTTATCTCCTTCGCGAAATCTATGGGAGACAGCAATGCCTTCGCACAGCGATACATCAAGGGCTGGGGATTCACTTGCGACGCTATGCTCGACCTACTTATTAATCCGCCTAAAGTGACGCTAGGCGCTGGCGACGAGGCTGTCAACGAGGCCGATGTCGATGATATCGGGTTCGGCCTAGGCTTCACGCCGCTCAACACGTGCAAAAAGGCAGCACGTGACGATTTCCCCGAGGTCCAAGACATACAACCATGGGTGCGCCAGTACCTCATGGATGCTAATACTCGGCATAATGGTGCCATTGCCGGATACATGGATCGCTTGACAGATAATAGCAAGCAGGCTTTGGCCGTGTATGTGTCTTAGACAAGCACGCCCCGGAGCTTCTGGAGATAAAATGTTAAGGCAGTGTCGATGGAATTATTAGAATGGGTCCGGGGAAATTAGCCGGCCAAGCAGGGCCACTGGTTCTCAAAAGTTTCCTACAACATCGCTACGACTTGCATCGAGCTATATGGAGATGTAGAAAACATGCGATCGCCTATTAGTGATCTCCACGAATGGAAGATATTTACTTGCTCCTCATAACACGTAGCGCGTACAGAGAAAACTATGGTCATTATACTATCTACCAATATTGAAGGGAATGGCCATGTCAGTTCTTCACATATCAGGTAGCTACTAATATCTATAAATTTAATTCAATATAGAAATCCAATTGCTGGATTCGATCTCTCTTGGGGTATCATATAATAATAACAATATCAATCTCGCTCCTCGTCCGTAGTCATCGGCGATCGTACGCGTCTAGACATGCCGCGTGCTCTCGCTCG